AGTTTCTGTTACAAAATTTTGTAAATGAGTAATTTTTCTCCTTCACTGATGTGCGCCAATGAGGCTGCAGTGATGGGGACTGATAGGCGGCACTGGTAGATGGCACTGATGGGCATTGACAGGTATCACTGATGGGCACTGAAAGGCAGTAGTCATATATGGCACTGATAGGCGGCACTGACGGTCACTGAGGCATCACTGACTGGTGGCACTGATGGTGACACTGACTGGCAGCTCAGATGGGCACTGATATGTGGCATTATTATTATTATACAGGATTTATATAGAGCCAACAGTTTGCTCAGCGTTTTACAATATAATGGGAGACAATACAGCAACAATACAAGAGGGATAGGAAGGCCCTGCTCCTTTATGTGCACTGGTAGGCACATATGTGGCACTGACAGGTGGCATTGATGGGCACTGATGGGGTTACACTGATTATCAGTGCCCTAATGATCAGTGTAGATGTCCCCTCTGAGGAATGCCGATTACCGGCTCTCCTCTCCTCACAAGCTGTCAGCGTGACAGCTCGTGAGGAGAGAAATGCCGATAACAGGTATTTCCTTATTTACATGCAATCAGCTGTGATTGGACACAGCTGATCACATGACCGAGCCGACATCTTCGGCTCTTTCCGTTGATCGGTGATCCGCTGTGTCCGAGGGACACATGACAGAGCCAAAGTCATCGGCTCTCTCTGCTGATCGGTGATCCACTGTGTCCCAGGGACACAGCGCACCACCGATCGCCGCGCTGCGCACCCCCGGGGGCGTGCACATGCGGTTAGAACATGATGTCCTCCCAGAACGAGAGAACCACCGCTCGTCCGTCATTCCCTTATATGCTGGGTGGGAGGCGGTTAAGGAGGTGAACTGCACATAAAATACCATTCTTGAGAAGGTTCAAGCACTGTATGTGCTCACTGAAGCTCAGTGAATATTTGCACATGGAAAAATTCCTAAAACCCATATTGACACTCCCCTTTCGCCCTTTAATCATTAAGAACATGGCATTTACGCCTGGCGAAATCAGCATGATATAGTTATAGCAGTAAAAAGTAATAATAATACAATCTCACCTCAAAGAACTTTTTCTCTATTTCAGGATTCTTGCCAGTTGTTCTTTCTTCATAACAACATAGAATACATGTGTCACTCCCTGCCAGATCCTTAAAGAGACTTCAGCAAAGGTTTTAGCGACTGCAAAGAAAAAAAAATCGTCCAAGTGAGAGACAGCATATGTTTTAAAACCAGCTAAATACATTCCAGGTGCATTAAAAACCGAAGGTGAGCAAAAGCCGTCACAGCCCAAACAGGAAAACCTGTGTCCTGCAGAGAGGGGACCTTCTTGTGTGTTGAAGCATCTCTTCTCTCTGCAGAACTCAAATTGCTGATTGGAGTGCCCAAGTTCTGACTCAGCAAAGGGTGTGTTGGAGCTCTGCAGAGAGACCTCTGCTTTCACACAGAGATCAAGGGTCCTTCTACACAGCATGCTGGCTAGGAACAGGTCTTTCTACTCAGACTGTAGCTGTAAAGAATCCAGCGCAATGAACGCCTTCTGTATTGATACAACTGAAAGGTATTTAACTGAAATAAACTGAAAGCTCAACTAGGATTTAAAGTACCAGTTCATTCATTTTTTTTTTATTAAATAGTCATGAAAAATAAGAACCTCTAAAGCAGTGGTTCTCAACCTTCCTAATGCTGTGACCCTTTAATACAGTTCCTCATGTTGTGGTGACCCCCAACCATAAAATTATTTACCCAGTAATTATAATTCATGAGTGTCGTTTTACCTCCAATACTGCTGCTTTCAACACAGTAGCTGCTTTCAACACAGTAGCTGCTCTTTACCCATCGGAAATATGTGTTTTCCGAAGGTCTTAGGTGACCCCTGTGAAAGGGTCGTTCGACCCCCCAGGTTGAGAACCACTGCTCTAAAGGTTTATCACTGTCTGTGAACTAAGGTGATTTCCCCTCGTTTCCTGTCCCAGTGAGCACACAGGAAACAAGAGGAAATTTCAATTCAGGGTACAGATGGGAATTGTTCTTGGCTGCAGTTCCCCTCTAAAAGGAGCCTTCTCTCTACAGACCATTCATACGTGGTCTTGAACCCCTTGACAAGGAAAGATAAAATGACCCAAAAGCTATGTGTACTTTGCTCCATGGGAAGTTCAATACTGTAAACAATAGTGGTAATTCACCTTTAACCACGTGCCTACTGCAGGGCATGACGAATTTGCTTTGAATCTAGAAGCCAGCTAAAAAAGTTAGGAGCCAGTTTTTTTTTTTTTTTTTAAACCACTTGCCTACTGGTTACTTTCACCCCCTTCCTGCCCAATTTTCAACTTTTAGCATTGTCACACTTTAAGCCCGGTTCACATCTGTGCGGTCATGCTGGACGCAATTTGCACGGACACGAAAGCCCATTCTCGGGAAGACGTCCCTGCACTACTTTGGAAATCGCAGCCCGCACGGGAAGAGAGGTTCTGAATTCCTCTGTGTGGGTGATGTAGCTGCAGGTATTTGTGCGGGTGCCGCAGCAGCACCACCCGCACAGATGTTAACCGAGGGTAAAAGACAATTGCGCAGTCATGCAACACTGTCCCAAATTTAATTTTTATCTTTGTTTGAGACAGAGCTTTCTTTTAGTTGTATTTAATCACCAAGGGGGGTTTTACTTGTTACTAAATACACGAAGAAAAGACTGAAATGTAATAAAAACAAAAAAAAAAAGGAACCTTTTTCTTCAAAGTAGTTTTTCTTCCCTGATGTGCGGTGATGAGGCTGCACCGATGAAGCTGCACTGATGGGGCACTGGTGAGGCTGCATGCATTGATGAGGCTGCACTGATGGGGCCACTGATAAGGCTGCACTGATGGGGCCACTGATAGGGCTGCAATGATGAGGCGGACATTTGGCCACTGATAGGGCCACTGATGAGGCGGCACTGATGAGGGGCCACTGATGAGGCGGCACTGATGAGGCTGCACTGATGGGGCCACTGATAGGACCACTGATGAGGTGGCACTGATGAGGGCTGCACGGATGGGACACTGATGAGGCGGCACTGGTGAGGTTGCACTGATAGGGTCACTGATGAGGCTGCACTGATAGGGCCACTGATGAGGCTGCACTGATAGGGCCACTGATGAGCTGCACTGATAGGGCCACTGATGAGGCTGCACTGATAGGGCCACTGATGAGGCTGCATTGATGAGGCACTGGTGAGGCTGCACTGATGGGGCCCACTGATAGGACCAATGATGAGCCTGAACTGATAGGGCCACTGATGAAGTGGCACTGGTGAGGCTGCACTGATAGGACCACTGATGAGGCGGCACTGGTGAGGCTGCATTGATGGGGCACTGATAGGGCGGCACTGATAGGGCCACTGATCAGGCGGCACTGATAGGGCCACTGATGAGGCGGCAGTGCTGAGGCTGCACTGATAGGGCCACTGATGAGGCGGCACTGGTGAGGCTGCACTGACAGGGCCACTGATGAGGCGGCACTGGTGAGGCTGCACTGATGGGGCCACTGATTGGGCCACTGGTGAGGCGCACTGGTGGGGCACTGATTGGGCCACTGATGAGGCGACACTGGTGAGGCTGCACTGATGAGGCGACACTGATTGGGCATGATGAGGCATGGATAAGGCTACACTGATAGGGCACTGATGAGACTGCACTTATGGGGCACTGATGAGGACACTGATGAGGCTGTATGAGGTTAGTTTGCCATTTCATTTCCTCTGTAAAGGTGGACTAACATTTTAAATATGATTTTTTGTGAAAATATTATTCTGATTTTGAGCAATTCTACACCTATCCATTCAAATCAAGATCTACCAATAATTCCTAGTACAATAATCGGTATACGGACCTCTTCATAGTAGATGCAGTCAGCCATCAAGATATAGTTAGGAGTCAGGAAAGTGCCTGCGATTTCCTCGCCCCTAGAAAAACAACACATTTTGCTATGATCGACACTAAGCAGGTAAATTAGGAACATTTTTCAGCTCTTTCCATAACCACAAAAATACAAACCATTTTAATACCTTCGCTTGGCAAGAACCAGTGATCAGATGAGCGTTACTGTCAATGTTCGCACTCATCAAATCTTGCAGCTCTTCAAGATCAGTCACTGTAACGTGCGCTCTGTGAAAATGACATACAAAAGTCTAAATCTTTATTCACACAATTTATAGCCCATTTTAAAATATTGATTTACTAAAGGCAAATGAGGCAAAGCTTCACTTCACATCACATGCAAGGAAAAGTAAAAAAAAAAAAAAACCCCAAAAAACAGCATTTTTGCTTCCACATGATTGGATGATTGAAATCAGCAGAGCTTCCCTTCATTTCAGAGCTCAGATCTGCAGGTGAAGTTCACTTTCAGTGCACAGACCATTTGCCTTTAATAAATCAACTCCAGTTTATGCTATAACAAAAGTGCTGCCCATCACAGTTTCACTTAAAGTGTAAAAAATCAGCACTCCAATCAGCACTCAGAGCTCTGCAGTGTGTAGATTTGTACATTCAGCTCTCCACCCCCTTTTTTCAACAGCTCACACAAGCTTTATAAATTCTGGACTTTGAATGGATATAGAAGAGAGAATACTGCATATAAGTAGATACAACTTATGTAGGAGGATTTGTTTCATCTCTGTATCACCTGAGGCCAGTCACTGAGTATATGTAAGAGTTTATTACCACTTTTAGGTATATCTAAACTCAGAAACATGAATGCAGTATATTGCAGCTTACCGTGCTTAGATGTGCTCAATGGAGTAGTATATATTTTAAGCTTCCGTCTGCTTATGGAACAAACCTGAGTTGGGATGAATGCTTCTCTGCGACTGAGAGGAATCATTTTGTTTGTAACAATAAATACAAGGCTTCCTCTGAATATAATAGTTTTGTTCGGTGTTAACCATCTACCGTCTGGCCATTGTATATAAACAGCCGGGCGGTGGCAGTGCAGGGGGGCGGGTGACTGTTTATAAACGGCCTCCTCGCCCCCTGCTTGTGCGCCCTCCCGAGAGTGTGCAGCACCGGAATCCGGTGCTCACTGTGTCCTCCGGACACAGTGGAACACCGATCGTCGTACGGGACTTCTTGCGAGGTCCCCGATCATGTGATCACTGATTGGCCAATCAGTGATCACATGAATAGTATTAACCATTTGCCGCCCGGCCAATGGCCGTTTGGCGGCGGCAAAAGTGCTTCTGCATTCCAGGTGCACGCCATTTGGCGTGCTCCCGCACATGCTCAGTTCGCGCAACTGCAGAGCGGCGCGATCTGTCACTGGCCGTGTACCTCGAACACGGCCGATGACAGATCTGAGTACTGGCCCCCGTTGCCGGTACCATGTGACCTGCTGTGACCAATCACAGCAGGTCACATGACAGTTGTATACAACGGATGGCTTCATTCATGCCATCCATTGTATACTAGTGCCTAGCTGTGAATGGTCACAGCTAATCACATGCACATGTCATGTGATTAGCTGTGACCAAATCACAGCTAAGCACAAAAAAAAAAAAAAACTGAATGAATCGATTTCATTCAGGTAAATGCTTGCTTATAGCAAAGTAATTCTTTGCTATAAGCAAATTGTGTAAAAAAATAAATAAATAAAAAAAATACTGATCACTTCCCCAAAGTAGTACAATGTTACTATGGTAACATTGTACTACTTTGGTCATAGTAAAATATGAAAAAAAAATCTTAAAAAAAAAAAAGTAATAAAAAATTAAAAATAATTAAAAAAATAAAAAAATATATATATTTTTTTTTTTTCCATACTGTCACCAGTCAGTGTCCCTGTTCACCGCCATGCCAGTTATATGATGACGCTGTACTGCACTGGTGACAGTATGTAAAAAAAAAAATAGTGAAAATAATTTTTTTAATTTTTTCATTTTCCGAAAAATTATGACAAAAAAAATACAACTTCAAAAAACTCGCCATTCCTCTTATGAAGTACGTCGGACTGTCTACTCTGCAAAAAGGGGTCATTTGGGGGATATCTGTACTGTACCTGACATTTGGGGGATATCTGACATTTCTTGGACCTCAAGAAATTAGATTGGCAGTCAGTACTTCAGGATTGATCAATTTTCAGATCTATACCATAGTTTGTGAACTCTATAACTTTCCTACAAACTAAAAAATACATCCTAATTTGGATTATTTTCACCAAAGACATGTAGCAGAATACATCTCGGCCTAAATTTATGAAGAACAATTATTTATTTGTAAACTTTTTTATAACAGAAACAAAGAAAAACTTGTTTTTTTTTCAAAATTTTTGGTCTTTTTTTTTTGTTAATTTAGCAAAAAAAATAAAAACCCCAGCGGTGATTAAATACCACCAAAAGAAAGCTCTAGTTGTGTGAAGAAAATGATAAAATTTTAGTTTGGATACAATGTTGTATGACCGCGCAATTGTCATTCAAAGTGTGAAAGCGCTGAAACGTGAAAACTGGCCTGGGCAGGAAGGTGTAAAATTGCCGGTACTGAAATGGTTAAACAAGATGTCACTTCTGACATCATTGCTTACTACGTGTGAAATCTGTGAATGATCACAGAGGTCACATGGTACAAGGCTATTCACAACAGCCTTGTACCATGTGACAAGCTGTGACCAATCACAGCTCTCACAGTATTTATCAATGGCTGCAAGAATGCAGCCAGAGTGAAGGAGAAATGATTGCTTTTACAACCTTTATGGGTGTAAAAGCAAGCAGTGTAAAAAAAAAAAATTCTTCATTACCCCCCACAAGTATTACAGTGTCACCTTGGTAGGGTGACAGTATGTAAAAAAAAAACAAAATAATAATAATATATAAAAAAATAAAAGAAGAATGTAAAAATGTTTTTTTTTAAAAATTATAATTTTTGGTTATAAACTAATTGGGGTTATTTTTTTTGTACTAAAAAAGATAACATAATAAATTTTGGCCAAGATTTATGATGAAATATTATTTATTTGCAAAATTTTGTAAGAAAAACTTTTTTTCAAACTTTTTGGACTCTTTCATTTATATAGCAAAAAAAAAAATCCCAGCGGTGAAAAAATACCACCAAAATAAAGCTTTATCTGTCTCAAAAAAATGCTAAAAAAATTCATCTGGGTGCAGTGTTGCATGACCGTGCAATTGTCATTCAAAGTGTGATAGCGCTGAAAGCTGAAAATTAGCCTGGACTGGAAGGGGGTGAAAGTGTCCGGACTGGAAGGGGGGGGAGGAAAGTGTCCGGACTGGAAGGGGGGGGGGAGGAAAGTGTCCGGACTGGAAGGGGGGGGAGGAAAGTGTCTGGACTGGAAGGGGGGGGAGGAAAGTGTCCGGGACTGGAAGGGGGGGGGGAGGAAAGTGTCCGGACTGGAAGGGGGGGGGGGGGAGGAAAGTGTCCGGACTGGAAGGGGGGGGGGAGGAAAGTGTCCGGAAGGGGGGGGGGGGAAAGTGGGACTGGAAGGAAAGTGTCGGACTGGAAGGGGGGGGAGGAAAGTGTCCGGACTGGAAGGGGGGGGAGGAAAGTGTCCGGACTGGAAGGGGGGGGAGGAAAGTGTCCGGACTGGAAGGGGGGGGAGGAAAGTGTCCGGACTGGAAGGGGGGGGAGGAAAGTGTCCGGACTGGAAGGGGGGGGAGGAAAAAGTGTCCGGACTGGAAGGGGGGGGAGGAAAGTGTCCGGACTGGAAGGGGGGGGAGGAAAGTGTCCGGACTGGAAGGGGGGGGAGGAAAGTGTCCGGACTGGAAGGGGGGGGGGGGAAGGGTAGGATAGTGTCCGGCACTGGAAGGGGGGGGAGGAAAGTGTCCGGACTGGAAGGGGGGGGAGGAAAGTGTCCGGACTGGAAGGGGGGGGAGGAAAGTGTCCGGACTGGAAGGGGGGGGAGGAAAGTGTCCGGACTGGAAGGGGGGGGAGGGAAAGTGTCCGGACTGGAAGGGGGGGGAGGAAAGTGTCCGGACTGGAAGGGGGGGGAGGAAAGTGTCCGGACTGGAAGGGGGGGGAGGAAAGTGTCGGACTGGAAGGGGGGGGAGGACAGAGGAAAGTGTCCGGACTGGAAGGGGGGGGAGGAAAAAGTGTCCGGACTGGAAGGGGGGGGAGGAAAGTGTCCGGACTGGAAGGGGGGGGAGGAAAGTGTCCGGGACTGGAAGGGGGGGGAGGAAAGTGTCCGGACTGGAAGGGGGGGGAGGAAAAAGTGTCCGGGACTGGAGGGGGGGGGGGGGGGGGAAGTGTCCGGACTGGAAGGGGGGGGGGGGGGGGGGGAGTGTCCGGACTGGAAGGGGGGGGGGGGGAAGTGTCCGGACTGGAGGGGGGGGGGGGGGGGGGGGGGGGGAGTGTCCGGACTGGAAGGGGGGGGGGGTGTCCGGACTGGAAGTGGTAAAATGAAAAGAAACATGGGGAAAGGCAAATAAACTGCGCACATTGCAAGTGCAGTTGCTCCAGAGCTTAGTAAACTCTGCTGACTTCCATCATCCAATCATGTGCAAGCAAAAATGCTGTTTTTATTTTATTTGCATGTGATTGGAAACTTCATCCCATTTACTGAGCTCTGGAACAACGGCACTTGCAAAGTGCACATCCTATTTGCCTTTAGTAAATCCACCCCATGGGCTTAGGCTTTAACTACTTCCTGCTGAAGCAACTCTGACTTTTCTCTCCTACATATAGAAATCATTTTTTCGCTAGAAAATGACTCAGAACCCCCAAACATATTATATATACACACGTGTTATATATATATATATTATATATATATATATTATATATATATATATATATATATATATATTATATATATATATATATATAAACATTATACATACATACACACGCATTTTTGTGCGCACCCCTTGAGAATAACATTTTTAACATCACGCAATTTTTCAATGCATTAAAAAAAAAAGAAGAATTGAGTAAAGTGTTACTAAAGTAAAAAAAAAATTTTATTTAAAATAACAAACATGTTATATTCACCTGCTCTGTGCAATGGTATTGCACAGAGCGGCCCCAATCATCTTCTTCTTGGGGTCCGCTGCCGGCGATCATGGCTCCTCCTCTTCCACCCCCATAACAGGCCATTTGCTATGGAGGCACACAATGTCTGCACACCCTATAGACTCACACAGAGGGACTACTTTAATGCCTCCTGCTTCCTGAGTGCTGTGTGAAGAGGACGACCCCTCCCACTACTTGTAAAAGTAATCCAGTGGCTAATGAGCGCTCTGATCACTTTTATAGGGCAGTGAATTTCCGGCTGAAAGTTTTGATACCAGACTCATGGCTGAACAGCTGCAGCTATAACCCCGGTATAACCACTTGAACACAATCACATACATGATTTGGTGACAAGCGTTGTAAAGCAAAGCCTTGGATTTTATTTTTCTTTTTAGGTACCGTAGGTTGTCATTATTTCATGAGGGTGCAAAATTGTAACACTTGACATGTTTGGAACCAAATTACTTGGTGCAACATCTTTCAGCCACTGTTCACACCGGGTGCAGCTTCAAAGCCAACAATTGGCGCGACTTCACGTGCGGCTTGCCGACATCTGTGTGGCTTTATACACGTCAATGCAAGTCACACATGTAAAAGAGTGTAGGAACCTTTTTTTTAAGGGCTGAGTCACACTATAGAAACTGACTGATGCGTTTCGGTGCATTTTTTTTATGTGTTCCAGTTTTTTTTTTTTTCTTTTTGGGTCATTTGGGGTCCAGCGCATTTTTGGTGCGTTCCGCTACAGTTCTGTGCAGGAAAAAGTGCAGCCTGTTCTACATTTTTTTTGTTTGGAAATGGAACATGCTACAAGCACTGATGTGAACCATGCCATTGACAACCATGTAACCTACTTTCTGTGTGTTTTGGATGCAGAAAAAAATACATGTAGTGTGACCCCCAGTTCAAACCTATGCGGCCATACGGGCCGCGTTTTGCTTGGGCACGAGAGCCCATTCATTTGAATGGACTCCCATGCCCGTGACACGCAGGGAAAGAAGTCCCTGAACTACTACTTTGGAAAACGCAGCCCGCACGGGAACCTCGGTTGCCAGTGCGGTTGCATTTCCCAGTGCGGGCGGCGTGCCATTAGCATTAATGGCACCTGCCCGCGGGTCCGCATTCCTCTGTGCCGGGGGGTGCGGCTGCACGGATTTTCATGTGGATCCACAGCGGCACCACCCGCACAGAGGTGAACCAATCCTCAAAGTTGCTGCAACTAACGCCACACCTATTTGCGCAGTTCCTAGCAACACAGAGGGTGCGGCTTGTCATGTGACTTTGATCTGTCAAGTTGCACTTCGTGTGAACAGAGGGGCTTATACTTCATCAAAAATTGGGGATTATATATGTGATTATGCGCATTAACATTCATTTAAATGTATTATTTTCTGGAAAATCTGCGTTTGATAATTGGCTGAGCAAATATTGAGCAACATAAAGATTGCCAACACCCAGCATTTTCTTTATTCTCCAGCAACAAACTGCAGACTTTCACAGATACATGATTGTTAACATTGGGCACTTTGTTGCTTCAGGCTACAAGATGCTCCGGAGAGAACGGGGTCTTCATTACCGTCGCCAACAAGAATGCCGCCCTGAAGTCACAGGCCCGGCTGACAGGTTTATTGCAAGGTCAGCACTAAAGAAAGCCCAGCAGACATTGGGGCTGCATGACAGCCAGGAAATGAGCATTTCCAGGAAGGAAGAGCGGGCCCTTTGAGTCTCAGCACACCCTACACCCACATCAACCAATCAGATGGCATACAACCTCAGAATTTAAATCAGAAAAAAAACAGCGCCCAGGACCCAATCTATTAACAAACAGTTATAAGTGAAATGCTGCTGTGCATAGGTATATGAACCAAAACAAATATTCCAATATAAACCAGCGCAAAAACACAATTATTAAATAATAAGTAAATACAAAATTACTATTTTATAAATAATATTCAAAGTTCAGTGATAAAGATAAGTGACCACAATCCGTGACAAAAAACTAAAAAAAGCTAAAAAATTTTTTTTCATAAATCAAAAGTCCAGTGATCTAAAAAAACTTTCTAAAAAATAAACTTCAGTGCTTCAAATAATTCTTCCACCATCCACCAGTGCCGAAAGCAACATAAACCGCACTCACCAGATATTGGTGAGGGAAGAAAAACACCTTTCAGGATTATTTAGGGCTCCTGGACCCCCTTTGAGGACTCTCTCTATTTTCCACCTCAGATCTATGGGTATTCCTCCATTTCGTCTCCTCGCCAAATCACCAAAAGGGAGAAAAAAAAACTAATAGTGTAATACTGTTATACCCCTTTTATAATAAATTCAAGCCAAACCTCTCACATTTCATAGGATAAAAACCAGCATTTATTTAAGGACATCAAACGAATTTTCGAATAGCAAAAACGAATTTCCACAGCTCCTAGGAACTCACAGCCTTGTATGCAGCAGGATGACAGCCTCCATAACGAACGAACTTTCTTCACTAGTCAGAAAATGGCCGCCTGGAACGCATCCCTCGGCGTGCGTTCCACTCACCGGAAATGACGTCGGACGTTCGGGGGACCAACCGGAAGTACGTTCAACGCGTTTCGCCCCACCCACAGGGCGTTCTCGAGGTTTGGCTTGAATTAATTAAAAAAAAGGGGTATAACAGTATTACACTATTAGTTTTTTTTCTCCCTTTTGGTGATTTGGCGAGGAGACGAATGGAGAAACACCCATAGATCTGAGGTGGAAAATAGAGGAGTCCTCAAAGGGGT